TGTATGTTGTATAATATATACTATATTCTGTTTATTTTATTATAACCTATAATCTATTATTACTTGCAGTTGATATATTACTATGTATAATATATACTTTAAATTTAATAATTTTCTGATTTTTTTTAAAGGCTAAAAATCACATCACGGAACTTATTTTGGCCATTATGTATTTCTTTGCTTTCCTTTCCTTGACATTCTTTGGAAATTCTGCTGTCATTTTCACAAGTCTTTTCTTCGAGCAGCCATGTTCGTTACTGATGAAAATAGTAGCTGGGGAAATTGTTTGCTTTCGCTGTTTAGAACATGTCTAAACTTGACCACTTAGCAGGTGTCTATGCAGATCAAGTTGAGGGTCAGAATAGGCTCTTAACAGCAAAGTACTAGAGGTAGTGTCAAAACTTGCCTGGGGTGCATAGCAAAAGGTATTTCCTGTCTGGATTAATAACCAGTTGCATTACTGCCACAAAGTAGAAACTGTTTGGCTTGGGGTTTTTTTCCTCCCTGTATTTTGTCCTGACTGTTTAAAGGTTCATCTTGTCTAAAGTAAAAGTGGCTTTTGAATAGCTAGGAAGTGATAGAAAAATATTTCCTTGGGTTTGTTGGCAGTACTGGAGGAAGAAGAAAGTCCAGCTGCATTAAAGGATACACACTGTCACACAGAGCCTTGTCTCTTAAAAAGCAAACAAGCAAAAAGATATTTTAAAAAAGAAAAACCTTCTGAATACAGAAGCTGGATTTTGACATTATTTCATGAGCACTTAAATGAGCTTGTACAGTATTAGCAACAGTGGAACAAGCATTTCATATAAAGCAAATGTTTTGGACTTTTACCATCATCAACTAAGTGGTGCAGCTGCATTTGGAAAATCATGCAAATCATGTGTAGCGGGGAAGAAAAAGTATTCATAATTCAGGTTATTCATCCATTCAGATTTTGTGACCGTTTTATCCCTTCCCTAATCTTTATGTATCCGTGACAACACAACTTGCTCACATTTCACAGCCAAAGCAGTTGAAAAGTGAAGGTTTTAATAACATGAAATTATCTACCAGTATTTGTAAGACATCGTACCAAAGCTATGAGCATAAAAATGTATACATATAGAGGATTTACTGGGAATGACAACTGCTTCTCATAAAACTAATCAAAGAATTATAAAAACTGTCAAGTTGTCTAGGTTGTTGTACCATTTTAAAATCCAGAGTGACCTCTTCACCACAGAATAAGCTCTTCTGATTTTAAATGACATTTTGATTACTTGAATAAATACTTACGCTACTTCAAGTCTTCATTCTAGATATGTCAGATAAACCAGAAAAAGAGCAAGGAACTAAATGCCAGTTGCTTACTTTTTCACTGTGGGGAGCTCTTCAGCAGACTTCTACTGTGGAGGCCTAGTGCAATTGCTTGTTTTTACAGACACTTTTTAAATTTCCCTTTTTATAATCAATTTACTTGTAAAATCTCTGCAGATCATAATCCATTAAATGTACATGTGAAAATAGATTATAATACTATGCTTCAGCTAAATTGTGAGTGTGGAGCTGAAAGCCAGTTCCAGTGCTGCAAAATTGTGAAGGTAGACCTTTATGCCCACCTGTAGTGCGCATAGTGAAGACAAGAAAACTTTTCTTCAGGAGGGAAAATAAGAAGGCCACTTCCCTCCGGTTTTTATTCTCTTGAGTCAGCCAGTTGAAATACAAGTCAAATAAAGTTTGCCACTCTAAACTCAGAAATATTGGCAAGCACCCATACCTCCCAAGACCACGTGTTCTAGTATCACACTTGCAGGTTACGTGTGAAGCACTGAAACTACAGTATTGTAGGAATTTGTCTGAATGTGAACTTGTAAGTAAAGGAGATATATAGCAGAACACAGGAAATTAGCTTTAAAAATTAATAACGACCTACTATTATCATTAGGTTAGTAATAAATAATGCAGAAAGAGCTAATACACAATCAAGTAGGTAACTGATGAAATGTGCATTTTGGAGCTCGAAACTTGAGTAGTATCAGAGAACGCTGATTGACAAGAAACAAAGTGAAGAATAGGGGAAACTAGGCAAGCTTATTACCTTATTTTTAAGTGGATGGAAGGTGTAATGTGTGTTTTGAGTTGACATACATGTCTGTATGGAATCCTGAAACTCAGCGTTCAGTAAAACTTCTCTTGAATTTTTCAGGAAATCTTACTAAAGAGAGGGAAGTTTGGATAGGTGGGTGGAGTTGTACCTTATTAGCTGTGCTGTTTATGGTAAAGTGTTTGCTATTAAGTGTGAAAAAACTGGGTAGAGGCAATCCAGAAGCAGAACAGAGTCAAGCAAGACGTTTTCTTACATATACCATTGTCCTCTCCAGTGTGTGGAGAGATGTGTAGG